ATTCACCATAAGGAAGAGTCGGCAGACACAACAAACAGACGAATTAACACGCCAATAACTGTGCATAATGGAATACTATGTAAGTATACTTAAGAGTATTACAGATTAAAGACGAGAAAATAAACTATAATGAAAATATTGCACCATGAAAAAAACAGCTTATTGAGGGGGAAAAAACAAATAAAACATTAGGAAATGAAAGACATACCTTTGAAATTAAAGACTCAATGATTCATTAAACAGTAGAGCAGACCCAGCTGAAAATAGAATTAGTGAATTAGACGATAGAGCTGATGAGATCACTCAAAATATGGGAGGAAAGGGAAAAGTATGAGAGAGAAAATACAAAAGAATAGTTTGGTTTATTTATTTTGAGGAAGATTAGCCCTAAGCTAACATCTGCTGCCAATCCTCCTCTTTTTGCTGAGGAAGACTGGCCCTGAGCTAACATCCGTGCCCATCTTCCTCTATTTTATATGTGGGACGCCTACCACAGCATGGCTTGCCAAGCAGTGCCATGTCCACACCCAGGATCCGAACCAGCGAACCCCCGGCAGCCAAAGCAGACCACGCAAACAACTGCTGCGCCACCGGGCCAGCCCCAAAAGTTAGTTAAAAGACATGAGGGAAAGAATGAGAGAACCTATCACACCATATGTGTAATATGTCCTGAATGAGACAGAGAGAATGAAGGAAATGTAATATTCCAATAGATAATGGTTGAGAATTTTCCAAAATGGAAGAAAGACACAGCAGTCCTCAGGTTGAAGAGTCCTGAGCTTATAAACACATTGTGGCGAAACTGCAGAATACTGACAAGAAAGAGACCAATCTTAAAAGCAACAACAACAACAACAAAAAGCCTGTTTGCCTACAAAGATAACAATTATATTGGCAGCTGACTTCTTATTAGCAATAAAGCTTATAGAAAAAAATAGGATATCTTCAAAAGGCCAAGAGAAAACTGTCACTCTAAAATTCTATGCCCACTAAATTTTCATTTAAAGGGTGTGAAATACAGACATTTTAAGGCAAAGACTGAGAATGTTTACCACTCGAAGACTTTCACTGAAATGCCACCAAAGAATATACTTCATAAGAAGGAAACTGAAATAAGAAGGAAGGAGTGGCCTACAAGAAGACAGTGAGCAGAGAAATCTATAAACATGTCAGTGAATCTAAACAAGCATTGAAAGCCACTGTTAGGGGAAGGTAAATTGGTCCAACCACTTTATAGAGCAATTTGGCAATAACTAGTAAAGTTTAAGATGCACATATTCTATGACCCAGAAATTCTATTCCAGGCATTTAACTTAGAGAAGAGCTCACATCTATGCCAAGGAGGCGTGAACAGCACTGTCCACTGCCGCATCGCTTATAAAACGGAAAACTGGCGACAGCCTAAATGCCCATTAGCAGAAGAATGGCTAAATAAATTGTGGTATATTCAAGCAATGAAATAGTATTCAGCAGTTAAAATTCATTAACTGGAGCTACATGAAACAACATGGATAAACGTAAAAAAAAAGGTTTGCAGAAGAATGCGTACAATATAACACATTTAGATAGATTTTTAAAACACACAAATCAATACTCTGTGTTGTTTGTGGATACACACGTATAAAGTAAAACTATACAACCATAAATAGAAGAGCGATCTCTGAACCAGATGTGGCAAGAGACGAGCAGTCTTTGGATTTCAGTGGTGTGTACGTGGATACTCGTTATGTTATTCCCTGTACTGTATTTTTCCGCATGTTTAAAAAATTCACTTTTTTTAAATGAAGGGATCTAGGCATTTAAAAATAAGGGTAAAGGGGGATAGATGGCTGCATCAGTCCTCAGAGAGGATGATCTCCTGGGATGGGATTAGGAGGGAGGCTAAATCCTGAGTCCAGGGATTACAAGGATTAACTCAGATCATCCCCCTAAGCTGATCACCTGGTTGGCAACCCCACCACTCCTGGCCCTTCAGAGATGCACCCCTGAACCACGGTCCACTTCCCTTTATAGCTGCTAAGCCTTTTCCTCCTGCCTCCTAACTGCACCCCTACCCTCAACCCAGTGTTGGTCTGGCCAGGGTGTGAGTCCTGAGAACAAACTGGTTCAGGTCCCCCTGAATGCTCCTGAGATCAAGGGTGAATGGTGACCTGCACCCCAGGAGCCAGGGAGAAATTAGTCCTAACACTCAGGATCAGAGCTCCCTGAGGAGAGCTTGGACCCCTGGATGTCACAGTTGAGGACTTCCTCCCCTGCCTCTCCCTCCATCAGCCGAGAGGTCAGCGGTCAAGGTCCAGTGCTAAGCCTGCTGGCTGAGCCAGAACCAGAAGGAGCTGTGCTGGGGCAGAACAGCCACTGGCCTTCCAGCATTAGGCTCTGTCAGTCCCCAGAGCTTTATGCCCCCCACCCTCCCAATGCCAGCCCCTTTCCACCATCCCTGACAATTGCCGGGTTCCCCAAGTCTGGACAGGCCTGATACATGCAGCAGACCCTCCGGAAGGGATCTCTGTGAGCTTGTTCAACAGACTTTCCCGCAACTGGATCACCTTGAGCACAGGATCTGGAGTGGAATCCTGTCTGGGGAGCAAACGAAACCTCCTTGAACTGTGCTCATCATCTCTCAGAGCACCAGGCTAGGGGTGTGAGAGGGAGGGAGGGACTTATGGGGCAACGTTATTGTTCATAGGCAACATTTAACTCCGAGTGTGAAATCATATGTTAAATGATAAGACAGAGCATTAACTGTGTGGTTGGGAGATTTACTTTTACTCATTTATTCTATGTGTCAGGTACTTTGTCAGATGCTGGGGATACAAAAATGACAGATATTTCCCAACCTTCCAGAAGCTGGGCAGACAGAGAGTAAAAACCCGACCTTGACAACCCAGAGTGACCTGCTGCCCTAGAGGGAAGGAGGACAGGGTGGAGCAGAGCAGGGGCTTCTAATGGGGTCAGGGTGGGGCGGCAGGGAAGGCTGCCTCGAGGGCTGAAGGATAAGTAGGGGATGTCCAGGCAAAGGGCTTCTTTCCTGCGGAATACAGAGGGCTTGTGACCTCGGAGCCTGCAGAGGTGGACACAGACAATATATGCCCATGACCTTGCGAGTGGACATGCAAGAGAAGGGATTGGTATGTGTCCCTGGCTTAGGAATGCCCCAACACTTTTCTGGATGTGCTGGGACGCTCCAGTTCCCAAGTGTATCCCCTCGTTTCCTGGCTGAGACCTGCTGAGATGCGAAAGCTACTGTCTCGTCGAGATCCGGCACCCGGCAGACATTCCTTGACCAGACAAATAAGCCCTCTGGGCTTCCACATCTCCCTTCTATGAGAGTGCACATCAGCAGTGTCCACTCCCAGCCGGCTACGGGGGCAAGGTGGGTGGGGGTCGTGGCTCGCAGCCCTCCGGGTTTGGGGCCAGATGGGAAGGCAGGGCGGTGGGGAAAGGAGGTCTCCGGGCAGAGAGGGCTGCGTGGGGCCACGGCGCGGGCCCTCGTAAGAGGGTCCCTGGTTTTGGCTTGGTGGGGGCGCGGGAAAAGCAGAGACAGGGTCACGCAGTTCGCGTATCCTGGCCTCGGTTCCCCTCTTCCTGCCCTCACGCAGCTCTGGGGCGCGAGAGGCCACCGCGCTGGGCAGGGGCCGGCGGCCGCGGGTCCGCGCTGACTGCGGAGGTGGGGGGCGCCGGCCCTGCTCGGTGAATGTCTGAGCGTTCGGAGGAAACAGGCCGGGAGGATTTGTCCATCCTTGTCCTTTTCCTCCCCCATCACTGAGCAGGACGCGGCAGTGACACGTGGCGCTAAGGGGGTCCCAGGGCGCGGCCAACTCCGGGCAGGACCACCGCCAGAACCAAGGGATCTTGTCTCTCCGTCGTGGGGCATCCTCAAGTCCCGAGAGGCTCCCGTCCGCTCCCTACTCTCCTTGGCACTGGCCTTGGGGCTACTCAAGGGACGCGCTCACTCGCCCCTCCCCCGCGCCCCCCCGCCCCCCCCCCCCGTCCATCCACCAGCACCGGGTCGCGGAGCCCGCGCGGAGGGAGGGCTTCCGGGCGGCGGCGGACGGGGGTGGAGTCAGGTGGCCGGACCAGGCCCCGCCCCCTCGGCCCGGCCTCCCTCCCCCTGAGCTCCCAGCTCCGGGTCCCCGGCCTCGCTGCTGCGGCGTCTGCTCCCGGCGGCGGCGGCGGCGGCGCGAGCGGCCATGGAGGCGGGCGCCGGGGCCAGCGCGGGCGCTGCGGGCTGGAGCTGCCCCGGCTCAGGTCAGAGCTGCCCCTCCCTCACCTCTCCACCGCCACTCCTTCCTCTTCTCCATCTCTCCTCCCTCCAGACCCCCACGTCTTCCCTCCGTCCACTGCTCCTCACCTTTCGGTCCTAAATCTTCCTCCCTCCATCCCGCCGCCGACCCGGACCCGGTCTCCATCTTTCCCGGCTGTGTCCTCCCCACACCGGCCGCATCTTCCCTGGCAGTGCCTGCCCTGAGCCCTCTTCATCTCGTCTCTCCAGTCCAATCGTGCTTTCAGCCCTGGAGGCTCCAGACCCTGCAGCCCCTCCTGCCCCGAAGGCTTAGGAGAGCGGGGCGAGGGTGGGGTGGACTAGGTCCAGTGAGAGAATGTAGGGGAGGGGAGCGGCTCTGGCCCAGAACCCCTTCCCACACTCACCTCCCCCCGCCATCGCCTCTCTTCCCTTCCACGCACCACCTCACCCTTCCAGCCTCTTTAATGGCTCCTGCCCTCTCTCTTCCATCCTTGCCCATCTCCTCCCTGTCCCCTCTGGGCCTAAGAGACACACACCCTTTCTGCGTGTGCAGGGGTGAGGAGCCTGGCACAGAGGGTGCTGAGGAGGTTGGGCAGTTCAGGGCGGGGTCCCCGCAGGCCCAGCTTGAGGGTCTGCTGAGGGAGAGGAGTCGCAGGGCTGGGCAGAGGGAGCCAAGCACTTCCACCCGGATTAAAAACCCCAGGGTTCCCAGGGGCTAGAAGGCATGTCCCCTTCTCTCCCCCTGCACCCCAGTGCCCAGCAGCCCACTGCATCCCACAACCCCTCCCCTCTCCCTGCTCACAGGACCCACGGTGACCACTTTAGGCTCCTATGAGGTGTCTGAGGGTTGTGAGAGGAAGAAAGGCCAACGCTGGGGGTCCCTGGAACGGCGGGGGATGCAAGCTATGGAGGGTGAGTTTTCCCAAAAAGCTTGCTTTCTCCTTCACCCAGTTTCACTTTCCTCCTCCTTCCTCCCCCTGACCCCAGAACTCTGAGCCAGGTCACAGCCCTTTCCCTACTTCGCCTGAGACCCTCCACCCTTCAGGTCTGAGCTCTGCCCCTCCTCAGGGCTCGCTCTGGCTTTGAGGGAAGTTCCGGGTGCATCGCTCTGGGGCCCTAATCACCAGCTAACCAGGTTGTGTGTCCCAGGGGAGCTGCCAGACAGAGAAAGAGGCCTCACTGGACACAGCTTTGAAGCAGCCTTTCAGCAGGGGGTTTGTTCTCACCGCGTCCCGACCCAGATCCCAAGCTGTCTCTTATTTTGAAAAGCAGGGACATGAGCATGTGAATTGTCTTTCTGGTGCCACCGCCACTAACTTCAAGTGCAAGCCCTGTGGCTTTGGTTCTCTAGGATGGCTTACTGCCTGAAAGAGATTGCCTGGGAGAGGGGCAGGTGAGAAGGCCAACACGCGTATCCCCACCACACCCATGTGACTTGGCAGTTGCTGCCAACACCAGGCCCCTGGAAGGATGCTGGTCCATTTTCCAGAACTTCCTATGAAGTGTCCCTGGGCCCCTGTGCACACTCAGTGTGGGCAACCCTGCTCCCCCAAGGGGGACAGATAATGCCAAGGGTCCCAGATGAACCCTAGGCTGCTATTACTGGAGAAAGTAAGACCAAGGATTCAGAATTTTAAAACAAAGCAAACAACTACCATCCAGACAAGATTTTGCTATTTAGAAGAACTGCATTGCAGCAAAGGAGGGGGTGCTCACCAACCAGAGGCTGGGGACCAGCTCACCCCAGTTTCTTAATGCATTAAAATGGCAGGCTTCCTTTTACACACAGGTGCAACCTCAGACTGCCCCTGAAAACTGCCTGGCGGTCAGCGTGGGAGGAGGGGCCTCAGAGGCTCCAGATGGCAGAGGAGACCTCTGCTTTTCCACAAGGCTATCTGACAGAATACATTTGCAGGGGGCTCCAGTGTTTGTCCAGTAAAGCATTTAGAAACATTTCATTCAGGTGTTTTCTTTCTCTATGTTCTGACAGGCAGTGCTTTCTGATTATGGAAAGGCTAATTCCTCACAAGCCACCTGGATAACTTTTTAACTTTCTGCAAACCTCCAAACTGTAATTCTTGCCTCATTTGGCCTAAAGACACACCCAGTCTGAATCCCCTCTCGACCACTTGTCCCACCACCCAGAGACCAGGACTGGGAGAAGCAAGTATCGTTGTGCAGGTTTCCTGGGGCTGAGCCAGCACCGGCTGCTCAGTTTGTCCAAAGGCAGTAATAGGAGGCCACCAGGTGCAGTACTGACCCAGACAGGGCTGGGAGGGGATGAGCTACCTCCACACTTGACCCTCACACCTGAGGACTCATCCTGAGTGCAGGTCCTGCCCAGGGGCTCCTTGGGGGACACCAGGTGGCACTATTATACCATCTCTGCCCTGGGACAGTGAGTTTGAGGGCCCTCTATGTGGAAAGGAAGTTGACTCTGACTCCATGGCGGGATGGGTGTCTCTCCTAGGGGAAGTGTTACTCCCAGCTCTCTATGAGGAGGAAGAGGAGGAGGAAGAGGAGGAAGAAGAGGTGGAAGAAGAGGAAGATCAAGTGCAGAAAGGTGGCAGCGTGGGCTCCCTGTCGGTTGGCAAGCACCGGGGCTTGAGCCTCACGGAAACGGAGCTGGAGGAGCTGAGGGCTCAGGTGCTGCAGCTGGTGGCAGAGCTGGAGGAGACCCGGGAACTGGCAGGGCAGCATGAAGACGACTCTCTGGAGCTGCAGGGTGAGTGCCTGTGATGCGGCCAGAGGGCCTGGGCCCAAAGGCTCTGGGCTCACTGGATCCCAGGCCTGAGCCGGCTCCCCACCTCTCTTCAGGGCTCCTGGAGGATGAACGGCTGGCCAGCGCCCAGCAGGCAGAGGTGTTCACCAAGCAGATCCAGCAGCTCCAAGGTAATTCCCAGCACTCAGACCGGAGGGCAGGTGGCCATCCAAATACTTTTGTCCTGAGGGTTTGGCTAAAGCAGAGCAGACAAACATAACCTAATTCAGTACTTTCTTCTCATTTTTCCCTCCTATCTCACCCTTTTCTCCTTGTCTCTCCACTCTCCTCTTTACCTTTTTTCTTTTTTTCTTTTTTGCCTCTCTTCCTGGCTTTTCTGTCCTCTCCTGCCCTTTCTTTTCTTCCATTTCACCCCTTCTCCCTGAGTTTAACTCTCTCCTTTTTAACTCTCTCCTCCAGCCTCCTCCCTTCACCTGCATCCCTTTTCCTTTGTTCTGATCAGTGTCCAGGGTGGGTAATCAGGACTGAATTCCAAACCAGATTGCTTTCCCCCCATCCCTCCAAGGGCATCATGGGAGGAGTCAATGAGAAGCACCTGGGAGGGGACTCTATGCATCTTCTAAGGGAAGCAGATGAGAATGCTTCTCTTGCTCCCTAGGACCGAGCTTGTGGCCCCCAAATCCCTTTCTTCTAACGCCCACGTCCCTTTGTCTTTGGGAAGCTGCAACGCTGGTGTCCCTCCGCTGCACTGCCAAATAAAGAGGCAGCTTTTGTTACTTCTGTGGGCTTCCGGAAGGTTTAGGGGAGCTGCCCTAGAAAACAGCAGGGACTCTCCAGGGCAAACTGAGATCAAGCCAAAAGGAAAGTATAAATGGAGAAAAAAGGAAGGCCAGGAAGTGGGCCCGGAGAGGAGCAAGCAAAGGTGGAGGCGAAGGGACAAAGGTAGAGGCAGCAGAAGGAGACGGTGGAGCGTGGAAGGTGGAGCAGGGAAATGGCAGGAGACGCCTTGCACAGGGAAATGAGTGTGAGCACTGGTCTCAGGTCACCTAGATTCTTGGGCCCAGCTCTGCCACATAACAAGCTTTGTGGTCTTGGGCAAGACTTTTTTTCTGAGACTTGATTTCTTTTTTTTCTTAAGATTGGCCATAAGCTAACATCTGTTGCCAATCTTTTTTATTTCCTTCTTCTTCCCGAAGCCCCCAGGTACATAGTTGTATATTCTAGTTGTAGGTCCTTCTAGTTGTGCTGTGTGGGACACCGCTTCAGCACGGCTTGATGAAGGGTGCTAGGTCTGCACCCAGGATCTGAACCTGTGAAACCCTGGGCCGCTGAAGCGGAGCGCCCAAACTTAATCACTTGGCCACAGGGCCTGCCCAAGACTTGGTTTCTTATCTGTAAAATGGAGCTAATTCATTTGTTTATCAACCGCTTAGTGAGTGCTGTTAAAAAAGATACAACAGGCCCAAAATGGAGTTACTTGTGCTGAGCTGCCATGTCAGCAAACCAAGACTTGGTTGCAGTCTCAGCCTCTCCCAGGAATGTAGCCTTTAACCAGTTAGTCTGGAATTTCCCTGTCAGCAATAGTGAGGTAATCCAATTTATGGACCCTTCTATCCCCCAAAGAAAAATGAGGTAATCCATTCTTTCCTTGTCCCTGCCCCTTTCTGCCTATAAAAGCCTTCCATTTTGTACAGCTTCTCAGAGTTCCTTTCTATTTGCTAGACGGGATGCTGCCCAATTCATGAGTCATTGAATAAAGCCAATTAGATCTTCAAATTTACTCTGTTGAATTTTTGTTATTTAACAGATTCTATATACTTGGAGGACCAGCTTTGGAATAAGACAGACCAGATCTCTGCCCTAATGAAGAGTACATTCTAATAGGGAGAGGCAGAAAATAAACAACCCAGGTTCAGGTGGCAAGAAATGCTATGAAGACAATATAACAATATGATACAGGGACATGGGGTGGGATGGGAGTTTACTTTAGAATAGATGGTTAGAAAAGTCCTCTTTGAGAAGATGACATGTGACCTGAATAATGAGAAGCATCCAGTCATTCAGAGATCTGAGGGAAGAGCACATGAGGCAGAAGGAACAGCACCTGCAAAGGCCCAGAGGTGAGAATGAGCTGCATGTGTTTCAGGGATGGAACAAAGGCCGTTGTGGCTGGAGCAAAGTGCATGTGGAGGCCTCTGGTAAGAGAGCATTGTGAGAGGCAGGCAGAGGTCAGATTACAAAGGGCCTTGTAGGCCAACTGAGAGGTTTGGCTTTTATTCGAAGCATAGTGGAAAGACATGGGGAGTGTCTTACCCAGGGCTAGGGTGTTATGATCTGCTTTACATTTTAAAAGAGCATGTTGGCACTGTGTGGAAATTGGATGGAGAGAAAGGAGGCAAGACAGTGAGTCTGGTTGGCAAGTTATAGAGTTATAGCAACAGTCCAGTCAAGAGATGATGGTTGCTTGGACTAGAGCATTAGAAATAGAGATGATTCAGAATATAATTTGAAGGTGGAGCCCTCAGGACTTGCTGAATTGGATTGGGGGAGGGGTGGTGGTGGATAAGAGAGACATGAAAAAAGACTTTACCCTGAGAAACTGGATGGATGGTGATGTCATTTATTGGAATGGCAAAGACTTGGTGAGGAACAAGTTTAGGGGTGAGGGGAACCACTTAAGACATGTTTCCTACATGTTGAATTTGAAATGGGTCTCGACATCTAAGTAAATCTGTTAAGGAGGCGGTTGGATATATGAATCTAGAACCAGGGGAGAAATCAGGGCTGGAGATATCAATTTGGGAGTCATTAGCATATAGATGGCATTCAAATCCATGGGAGAGCATCATGAGTCACATGGAGAGATATAGGAAGAGGAAAGAAAAGGGTCCAATCTCAGGGATACTACAGTATTTAAAGGTCCAGTGTAGAAGGAGAAACGAACAAAAGAGAGTGAGGTATGGGGCTGGCCCCGTGGCCGAGTGGTTAAGTTCGTGCACTGCGCTGCAGGTGGCCCAGTGTTTCGTCGGTTCGAATCCTGGGCGCGGACATGGCACTGCTCATCAAACCACGCTGAGGCAGCGTCCCACATGCCACAACTAGAAGGACCCACAACAAAGAATATACAACTACATGCCACAACTAGAAGGACCCACAACAAAGAATATACAACTATGTACC